AAATGGCTGTCTTACTGCGTCCAACCTCGGCAGCGATGGCGCATTGCGAGAGGCCTTGCTGTGCAACTCAACAATCCTGCCACGTTCAAAGTCAGAAAGCTGTTTTGCCTTTGCCATCAGGGGGTCATGATAGTGTGAATGCCTGATAGAAAATGACATGAAAGCCAGATTTTTGCACAGATTTTGACTTTCTAAGGCTATGGTCTTAAACTTTTGATCACCTGATGAACAGCCTATTTGAGTTTAAATGCAGTTTTCAATAAATTGCCTACTCAATTTTTTTTGTCTCTTGCTCCTGTTTCTTCTTTTTGCATTTTGAAGCTCTACTTACAACCTTGTTGCGAAATGCCACTTTTTTTAATGTAATTTTTCTCCTGGTCTTAAGATTTTGTTCAGGAGTGTATTTTCTTCCCATCTGACCAAGTTAATTTCCTTTTTTTATTAATCAGTTTATACTTGAACAACTTTAAACATGACACCTAAAACCGTCAGTAGGGTCCGCTAGCACTAATATCAGTATTACTTTATTAATTTTTTCATCTTTTGAGAACTGCCAGCAAAACTTCCCCTTTGTAACTTTTTGAATCTCCAAGTGTAAAGACTTGAAATAGTTTTGCTGAGAAAAACTGGCATAATTTGACTGAACGTTGAAGTAAGATCAGTGAGCAGTAGTGGAAGAGGGTTTGGGAGAGCGGGGAGGACAGAGAATTGCTTATTACTAAACTTTACTTCCCTACATCTTGACTCAGAGTCCCCAGCCCTAAAGTCCAATTATCTCAATGCAGAGACTTTGTTTCAGTGTTTGCTAGACGCTGTCATCTCGCAGCTGTTACACACTGCTCCATCCTCCCCAAAACACACGATTTTTCCTCATTCTATTTCCTCTGCCGTCTGCTCTAGTTTATTACTCGTATAGATGTAGTAACACTGCTGCGTTCAGGATGATGGATAAAAATCATCCTTGAGATTGTGTGTCTGTGTGTGTGTGTGTGTGTGTGTGGCATATGTACACTCAATTTGTGAAATGCTGCTGTGCAAGTCAGTTTCATTTCCATCCCTGTTCTCCGCGTCTCTCAGCCTCTCTGGAAACAAGGGCAGTCTTTGAACTCGATGAGAAGTCTGTGGAGAGACGTCGCATCAACTTCAAGTTGTTTGTTCTATGAACGCCAGCTCTAATTTACCCTTATCAGATTTTCCAATCTCCCGCCTGGTATCATTTCCTTTGTTGGTCTTTGGATGCTGACCACATTGTGTCCAAAAAAAAAAATCTGCATTTCAAAAATTGTTCACTGTAAACCCGAATTGTCATTACTTGGGTGCAGAATAGTTTTCTGAAAAAATATTAAAATACAAATAGTTAGTAGTTAGTTAGTAGTTCTAAAACTTAAAGATTCACATTTTTCTAAAGAAGAAAAGTCAATTGTAAAATAAACTATCATCATTGGTTTATTTCGAAACTGAAGAGTTTGAGTTTGACTTAAAGCTGAAAACTTTTATAAAGTCGGTTGCTTGGAAAATATGTTCTGTTTCTTTACCAGTGTGTTCTGGTTGCATAAAGTCAACTCTTTAACTTGTAACTTTTTTATGTGTATGGTGGTTTGCTCTTTATACTATGACAGTTTTCCTAAAATGAGATTTTTGTAAAATGTTTAGTTCCCCCTTACATTTAGATCTTTACCATGGTTCCTGCAAACATTGAGTTTCAGGTGTTTGACACATACATTTGAACTTGCTTTGACATCAAGCTAAGTAGAGTTGCAACAATTAAGCGATTAGTCAATCAAAAGAAAATTAATAAAAATTAATTATTATAACATGCTGTAAATTACCACAGACATTCAAATTTATGCAAAAACTCTGAATGTCATTTATTTAGCATTTGGTATGATGTTGTTATATAGACTGACATTGTCTCAGTACCCCCAACTCTGGCTGACTTCAAGCGTCCCTCTTGGTACAAAACAACAAGACGTTGCTTTGGGATCCGGGAAATTGTGATACAATTTATAGACTAAACGATTAATTGATTAAGCAACCAAATAATCACCAGTAAACATAAGCCAGTAATAACAGTAATTGTGAGTTGCAGCCCTAAAGCCACTCCATCAGAGTGGAACTGAAATTAATTTAGTTCTAACTTTGTGTGTGTGTGTGTGTGTGTGTGTGTGTGTGTGTGTGTGTGTGTTGGCTGTAGGGGCCTGAGGCCTGGACGTCACCTGGAGGACGACGATATTGTGCCTGAGTTGGCTCACATCCATCCCAGAGAGAGACCCGACTGGGAGGAAACCATCAGTGCCATGGTGAGACACAAACACACACACACACAAGTCATTGTGATGTTCCCTATTCTATAGACAGTCTCTGTTTTGAATACATCCGGTGCATTCATCAGTGTCCTGCTCTCATCCCGGGTCAACTGAAGCTCCTATCAGTGTTACACTGTCGTTCCTGACATGTCAGATCCATTGATAACACCACACGCCTTGATCAGCTGTTTGCTGCCTGTCACATTCTTATCAGCGTCTGTTTTCAGCCCAGCAGGTTTGATGAGTTCTGTCTCTCTCTCCTATCGAAACTGCGTCTCCTCTGTAACACTATCACACATTCATGATTAATGCAGGTGACTGCTGGCGTCCTAAAGCTACCCTACCCCAAACTCTTTGCATAGATAGCCATCTACCTGCCATCTGTGTACTCCTGTGTCATCTGTTTATCTCTCCACACTGGATTCCATTCACCAGACAGCATCATTCATTATTTCCTTTCCTCCCATCTTTGCTACGGGTCTCGCTTCTTGCATCAACAGCACGGTGAAAATGAGGCCGTCTCCATGGTAACATGCCGAGCCACCCGTGGTCGGCGCGTGGTTGGAGCCCTATCGCAAGTGCTCACTTCGATCGGGCAACAGAGAGAAAGAGAAACAACAATCTCACCAGGCTAATGAATATTGATCACAGAGGCGGGGCTTTTAATGCTGCATGTCTGCTTTTCTTTGTTCAATATTTGATACGAGAGGGACTCTGTACTGGAGTGGCATGCATTATGAATGTCTCCGGTGGTTCAAGGAGGTGATGAGAAGCAACTTAGTGTAAGCTGTCACACCAACGCCCTGTTGCACTGTGTACATAGATCTTATTCTGTTTCGACTGCAGAGCAAGGCAGAAAGAATTCCCATAATCCCTGTAACATACTGATGAAATGAAAAGTAAATAATTATAAATTTGCAATGACAATACAGCGTTTAGATCATGGATTAGGAATGGGCTTGACTGAGTTTTCATCTTAAGCTTTCACATTAATTTACAGCATCAGTCACACAGTCAGAAGAGCATTTGGAATATGCCTGTGGCTGTCGCATACACACACACACGCAGACACGATTTATAAGGATGATTTTTTTCTTGTTACTATACTTGTAGGGATCATTGTCAGAATGCATTCCATAGCCCCTTACCCTAACCTTAACCTTCACAACTAAGTGCCTAACACTAACTTTTATCCTAACCTTAATCTTAACCTAATTGTAACACACACACAGACACACACAAACTTAAATTACTTTCCTGGAGACTTACCATAACCTCTACTAGCCAGACCCTTACTCTTACCCTAACAACTAACCCAAAAAAATATATTTTCCCGTAATGTCTTGTTTTGTCTGACTAACAGTCCAATACCCAAAGATATTCAGTTTATTATAACATAAACAGAAGAAGGGAGCATATCCACTCCAGTGAGAAAGTTTGGCATCTTTGCTTGAAACATTTCTTAAACCATGAATTGATTCTTCTGTCTATCGGCTATATATGAGCAATTAATATGAACTGCTGCTCCTTTGTTGCTTTTTCAGCCTCTTCCAGTTATCACCTCAGATAGAGGGGGTGTAGTCTGTCTCGGCTATCTTTAAAACCACGGCCTCGTCTGCATACCACCTTTACTGTCACTGACCGTCTGGCTGCAGAGTCACAAGCTGAATACAGGAAACTTTCACAGCTCTAGTCCACCTTGACTTTATCTTATTCACACCTCACTTGGCCAGCGGCTCTTTGATGCAGTTCTCCCACAGATCCTTTTTGCTTCATGGAGTTTTTCAATTACTTTCCTGTAGATGTGTTTTGTATCTCTTTATCTTTTTTCCTTCGTTCATTTTTGGTTATTTTGTCTCCCGGGTGTCGTCCAACAACCTGCTTTCAGATAAAATCAGCTTGCACCATAATAGATTCCCTAGGTCCTGTAGCTGTTTAGTTGACCACAGCTGCGTTTGATTTTCACTCTCATTTAAGCTAAATGAAGCAGATGAGTGGCTTTGGTAAGGAATACTAACAACAAGGAGAGAGACTGAGTTTTCACGAAACCCTGTGTGCAGTGGATGTTTTGGCCTGTCGCTGTAACATATGGGCAGTGTATATCATGTCTCAGCATGAACTTAGTTATTTGAGCACGTGATAACCATTTCAACAAACAATAGCAAGAGGTAATTGTTTATCTTGCCAATGTAATGTTAGTAAATTGTAATTTAAAGCAATTCTTGATGCTCAGACTCCTCCATGTGATTAGGGACAGCTTTATGATCTCATGTAGGACAAAATTAAAATGAGCACTGACAAACAGAATTTGTGTTCCAGCAACATAGTGAGAAGGCATTTGCCACCGTAAACAGAGTAATAAATTACAAGAAAGAAGCTGAATGTGCTGCTTTCAAGCAAAGGTCTCTGCAGTTCACATAGCTAGGTGAAGTCTATTTGATTAGAAGTTATATGAAATTATCAACTAGATGTTTCACTAGAACACCTGCAAGTTGGCCAACCGGACTCCATTTACTAAAGATGTAATTTTACCTAGCAGATAATCATAAAACTACTACTACAAACTGGACAGAATCAAATAAAACTTTTTTAGTCTTTCCAGTCTTCCCAGCAATCGCCAACTGTGGTTTGGTCAAAATAAACCCTTAATTTACAGAGTTAGAAGAGAATATTGCTCCGAAACAGACAGACAGGTATTCCTTGAAGACAAATGTTCCCATCAAATGGATGGAATGAATGGATGGATTTAAATTAAATCCTTCAAATTGAATTGGCCAATAGTTCTCTTCAGAGTTGTACCCACAGTTCCCTCACCGTCCTTGTTACTTGTCGTTCAGACTAAAAACAGCCCTGCATTTAAAAAAATGCCAGGGAGTGTTTGGTGGGGGGGTGTCGCTTCAGGTATCCTTGTGAATACAAAATACGATCCAGGAGGTCAGTTTGGAGATCCGCTTATAAGGCGCCAATATCCTACACAGAGGATTATGATATTATGAGGATGAATTTTGCAAGTCTCAAAAGTTAGCAAATATTTTATCTCTCAGTGGAATGATCTTGAGGTAAAGTGTCCCTACGATGACCTATGGCTAATCACCGTTTGTGAGCAAGTGCTGTCCTGTATTATTAAGAAAAGCTCCTGGAAAATCTCCTGGAAAGGTGCCGGAAAAAAGAGTGGTAACCCTGGTTCATGCTTCATAATAATCTACAAGGAATGTACGCTTGCACTTATTTATTTGGTCATTGCAGCACCTTGCCAGATGACATTGCGCTGCGTTCTAGCAAAGGCTGAGCCTTTTTTTTCCTGGAGCCCTCTGTGTTGGCACCCCCCTACTGCTGTAACAGAGTGGCCTCATTCAAGTGAATGAGGATGAGCAGGATGAGAGAGAATTGAATAACTTGGACCTGAACCACATTCTTTGGAAGTGTGGTTAAAAATGTTTGCCAACTGACATCCAAATGCACACTATTGCACTACACTACTAAAATATTGCTTTCCTGGCTGCACGACCCACACTTGAAGAGCTAACAGTCGAGGCAGGTTTAATATGATGGATGAGGTACTTAGTTGCTCCAAATCACATTTGAAGCGATTGGAGGTCCAGATGAGTCATCAAATACATGATACCATTTTAAAGGAAGAGAAAAGAGAGGGGGTTTTATTAGAGATCTTCATTTCCAATCTGATTCCAATACTTGAATTTGGATATCTGCTGATACCCATCTTCAGCCCTTGTGATTTCTCTGTGAGACTTTCACACAACCAGACAGGTACCATAAGTATGACTGCAGTCCCAAAGCAACCAGTCTGCCCCCTCTCTGTACATCCATTCGTCTTTTATCTCCTTTCCTTCTCTCCCTCTCTATACTTGCTGTTCCTTACACACATATAAACAGCAGTCTAAACTCCCCAGATAAGCCAGACAGCGGTCATAAAAACATCAGACTATGGAATCTGGATCTGTACTCGGATCAGTGATCTGAGTCCAATATCTGATAAGTGAATTAAGTCAGTACTGGCACCCAATGATGATATTTGATCAGACTCCCAACTCTTTTGAATATATATTTGGTAAATATCAAAAGATAAGTGGACAGGTTTAATACTTTCAAATGGTTTTATCAGTATACCTCTTGACCTAACTGTCTTTACTTAGCCTCTTCTACATTTGTACACTAACTTGCATCTGTGTCTGACTATATATCATACAGGTTTGATATGAAATTTACTTACTGGCTCGTCTGAATAAAGCTTCCACATAAGGTTGGAGATTACTTAAATCTGTTGAACTCTACACTTCACTATCACATGTACTCACGTTATCACCCAGTTCACAAGCCATTTCACAAAGTGATAGTCAGTGATGTTTCTAATAAAATGACTCTATTATATCTATTATATACTATTATATATATACTATCTATTTGAGAAAAAAAAAAAATATATATATAAATATATGAGTTTATTTGTGCACCAGCTGGATGGCTGATGCTAGCGTGTGTTTGTGTGTTTAGGCAAGGAGCGCAGAGATCCCCGAGCTGAGGACGGAGCCCCTCATGCGCTCCTGCAGCAGCAGCACGGCCAGCATGAAGGTCAAGAATGTCAAGAAGTGAGTAGACACGCACGCGTTCACTTACACACACATATACACACACACCTGCCTCTGCCTGTCTCCTCCACCTCTCTCACATCTCTTCTTCCCTCTGTTCATCTCTATTTATCGCTCTTAACTGGCTGTTTATCGCCTCTGTTTCTTGCTTGAGTTCCTTCCATTCCCCGAGTCTATTTCTGTGTCTTCCTCCTCCTTTCACTCCCTCTGTTTGCACTGCACTCTCCCTCTTATACCAGTCACACACAAACACTCCGAGGTGTTATCATGAGCAGAGGATGAAGTGCCAACCAAACTGTGTGTGTGTGTGTCATGTTTCCAGACTTAGCTTCACCAAGGGCCACTTCCCCAAACTGGCAGAGTGCGCTCACTTCCACTATGAAAACGTGGACTTTGGCACCATTCAGGTAAAGAACTTCTCTCCTTAAAGACTGCACCACATTAATGACTAATCACATATGTCCAAAATGATGAGGAATTCAATCTGGGGCTCGGCTGATGGCCCCCAGAGCAGTGTGTTGTATAAAATTACAGCACCACGGATGCCAATCATGGTGTCCACGAAGCTTTGAACTTCCCAGACTTATGTTCTTTGTAGCTATTCCCCTGCAGTGTTGGGTAAGAAATGGAAAGATGATGTTCATAAAAACAGAAGTATGACTCACATGCCTTTTTCCGATTGACGTCAAGCTGAATTCATCTCTTTCGCTGTTGATGATTGATGATTTGCATTTGTTTGATATCTTCTTGAATACCCAGTTCAGCATGACCTCAATCACTCCAGCTTCACACAGCTCAGCTCACTGAGGTTTGTTGTGTAGAATTGGTTGAAGTCACTTGTAGATCTAACTGCTACTTGTCTACCTGCTGAAAAAAAGAATAAATAGGTAGCTGCTCTAGCCTTTTTTTAGATTGAGCTTATTAATATTGTTAAAGGTTATATACAAATTTCACTGCTGCTAGATGTTGCAGTAGAGCACCAGCATCTAACACCAAAACAACGGGCACTATAGCCCACCAGACTCCATAGACAAAACCAGCAATTTCACCTTGCTGATAATCGTAAAACACACTTCAACAGGCAGGAAACAAAAAAAACTCACCAAAATTGTGTTTGTTGTGTTTCCACTTTCTTTCCAACAATCACCAATGTTTGTTTGGTTGAAATAAAGCCTTAATTCAAAGAGTTAGATGAAAATATTGTCTGATCATTGGGGACAAATCCATCCGTCAAAGTACATCCACTAACAGTGCTTGTTTTTGCCACTGACAGACTCAGATTGTTATACTCAGTGTCTGACAACATTATGGAAAGGATACCTACAGAAACAGCCGTAATATCACATGCCACCAGACTCCATAGACAAAAACAGTATTTTTATCTTGCATATCATTGTAATGTCATTCAAAGCGGACAGAAACCAAAAGAAACTCACAAATACAGATAGTCTTTCCATGGTTCCAACAATCACAAACTCTGGATTGGTCGAAATAAAAATCCAAAATTTACCATCACAAATGACCATTTTCAGTCACACAGAGGGACTCACATGCACTAACGTGTGGCCAGTGGCTTTGTAAATAAAGCACAGAGAGGCTGCGATAGCAACACAGGCCGAGGGAGTGCGACATCATTCTCAGCTTAGGTCACCATGACTCATCATTGCATCTCATTACATAGCAAGTAGTTGTTATATATAATCTTTAAAATTGCACTCTGACATTAAAGTACCTCTCGGGCTTTAACTACCAGTGGACATCTAGTTGTGGAGCTCAGTCCAGGGAACTTTCTGACTTTATTTTATTCGCTCGCCACTTTGCCAGCAGCTCTTCGGTGCAATTTCCTCATAGATCCTTTTTTCATTATAGAGTTTTTCAATTTCTTTCCCATATATTTGTTTTGTATCTCTTTATCTTTTTTTTGAGCAACTTGCAATCTCTTAAAAATTCCCAAACTTTAAAAAAAAAAAACTGCTAAAATGTTTGTGTAGCTTGTAGATTCTTCAAAACAGACTGTGTCTAGGCTGTTATATTGTAGTTTGTCAGAGTATAAAGCTGTGTATAGTAATTGATAGTGGCATACTTTTTTTAAAAAAGACCCAAGAGTTAAATGTGAACCCTACAATTAGAATTAGATTAGAACAATTAAAGGGACATTCCACCAATTTTACATGCTTGACTACTGTACAGCCTGTGAACACAGTTGTATAATATCTTCTGTGGGTCTGGAAGGAAAAAATAGCCCTGATGATGTCATCGGCGTTATCTCAGCGTGGGCGTCAGACTTACATTGTTTAACTGAAAGTCTGCATTACAACCAGCAAGTGTGTATTTAGGAGGGTCTGATGAAATGGACTGCTGAGTTGCAATATGGGAAATGTAGGATCTAGTGTTTTTGGTGCTTGACCCATACTAGGGACTAAAAGCCAGGATATCTAGACCTCTGCTGCTTTGATTTTGACCATTTTGAGTCCACCAGCTGTCTATGAGTGTTCCTTAAATGGGACATAATTGATTTTAGGATTCACAGTGCTATTGGTGCTCTTTTTTGCACAAGGGTTGTAAAGATAGAATTGTTCTGTCTTTTGAGATGATTTTTCTTTCACCAGATCCATTTGCTACCTTTCTCACTCGTCATTATGTTAAGACTCCAGAAGGGGTCAGCAGTCAGCTAAATTTATTCACACGCTGCTGTCGGGAGGGCAGAGCGACAGAGTTTTCTATAAAGCTTAGATCTGCTTCACCTGCAGATTATTTGTTGATGTAACTTAGGTTACACCACAGAATCCATCTATTCACTGTGCATAAAGAAAGCTAATGTGAGCTAATATCAACTGTCTAGTCAGTAGATTGTTCCTCTTTTTGTTATCCCAGCTGTGTGTGCTGGCTGGTCATACTGGCACGGAGCAGCATGACTGTCTCACCCTGCGTGGTTTTCATACTGCTTTCAAGTATCCCTGTCTTTTTGTTTTGCTTGGGTGTTTGCTGCTCTGTGGTTTTAGTATTCAACAGCACAGCCCCTGCCTCGCTCGAGTGAACGGAACCCAGAGCGAAAACTCCCGTCTTCTTTGTTTTGTTAGGGGATTAATTAATCTGTATTTGTTCCCTGTGTCAGTATATTTATGTGTTATATTGTCTCAACCAACATGTTTGCTTGTTTAATGAATCGGTCATAAATGTATTCTGTTTATGTTGCCCAGATGATTCAGACATGATATAAATACTTAAGTATTTTTGATGAATGCAAACATTGCTGCTCAGTTAAGCATTCAGAGAGAGTTTCCTCAAATACATATTTTACGTTCATCATGACTGATGGATGGAGTTTTGTACATTCCCCACATATTCACTCAGTTCAGGATGCACCTGTTACAGCTGTACAGTTATTGTTAATATGTTGTGTTGCCTAGGTTCACCTGAAGAAGTTCAGGAGTATGTTGGTGTTAAAAAGCCACCAGAAGTTCTGCACTCTGCATCAAGCCTCACACATTCTGTGTGCAGTGTACTGGACTGAGGCAGGGTTTTCTTTCATTTCCATAATAAAAAACCTTGCCAAAGGAGAATTTGAGTCATGCGAGGTTTTGTTGTGGAAACATTAGGATTTCATATAGTCACAAAAGGCCAAAGAGGAGTGTGCCTGCATTCAGTGCAGCACTTGCGTGGCACTTTTTTTTTTCTTCTGATACTGGTGTTTCAGACTATTTGCATGGTTCCCTGACAGTTGTTTTGGCAAAGGGGGGTGGTTTTTTTCAGCCGTTTAGGCATTGACATGAATTGGATTAAGATTTTATTATTGAATAAGAAATGATTGTTGTTATAAGGGTTCCACATTTTCTGAAGTGCTGATAAAGAGTTTAGGACAAACTTTTTACACCACCTGAGAAATTTTCAGGAAGCAGCTTTATTCCTTATAAGAAGATGATTTATCGTTGACTGTTGGATCCTGAGCAGAACCTTTTAAATAACCAGAGCTCAACTTTTCTTCCCAATAGACCTTTGACAATAGGATTGTTAATTTGACTACGTGATATGCTGATATTGAAACAAAAAAAAACAAAAAAAAACGTTATTTTAAATTACATTTTAGCAGTCCCATAGTTTACATATTTTCATTCCAAATTTTTCTATATTCTATAATTGATAGTATTATTATAATTACCGGTAGGCCTATATGTTTTTAAATTAATTTATTTCATCAAAAAAATATATATATTTCAGGGATTCCCCTGTGTACCACCAGAGGTGCACGTACCATAGTTTGGAAACCAGTGGGTTCGAGGTTTCCAAATCCTAGCTGTTGCTAATAAACTACTGTTAATGTAACCTGACAAGCAGACTGTCAGACTTCCCCTGTACTCTTACTTTGTGATGGGTCTTTGAGCTCGCTCTGGATATGCAATGTGATCTGTGTGGTAACTGTCACATTTCAGTGCTTTGTGATGTAGAGAGGTATGCATATTTTTCATTCTTACTGAAACTCCAGTCTGAACATTTACATTCATTTATTTCTTGGTTTACCTGCCGCTGCACACTTGTGACAAATAACATACTGTGATCATTCCAGCTCAGCAGAGAATGCCGCTAAATCTGACAGCAGTTCAGCTCCCAGTGGGACTAACTTACGGTGAATGCAGACGTGTTATTTTATGGTGATTTGAGGTAAAGTGTCTAGAAATTACACGTTAAATGAACTATGTGCACTCACTGTGAATCAGCACAGCTACTTTCACTCACACGTGTATATTCGTTATGGCGTGTGAGGACACAGTATAATGCAGGGTCACTGCAGGAATATAAAGAGACAGGATTGCATGTAATTGGGCTGTAAGTGTCAGTAAATTCAGATTCAGACATCTACAAGGATTTTAATCCCAGCTTTAATCTTGTCACATGGTACCAGGCTCAGAATCCAATTCTCAGCTTTTACTGGTTTCTGATGGAGCTCCTTCAGTTCAAATAAAGTCTCCTGATTTCAAGAATACTCAGGCAAACCTGGATAAGCTTAAAAATGTATTAGCCATGGTAGAGCATAGCTTTATGGATGGCGGTGTTGGTCAGTCAGGCCACCACCCTGGTCCAAACTGAAATACACAACAACTATTGGATGGATTGACGTGACATTTTGGACACACATTCATTGTCCCCAGAGGATTAAACCTGCAGACTTTGGTGATCCTCTGACTTTGTGGCCAGTGTGGTTCTAGTTTGAGCTGTAAGGCAGTCCGGAAAGGAGTCAACAACTTCAGGGTGGCTGTACCTCTTAACTTGGACAACAAAAAATATCCAGCCTCTTACTTTTTGTACTGTTTATTTCCATATCAAGTTAATAATCAGTAAAGAGTATTTGAGGCCTCTTGCATGAAAGTTGTATAAGGACAATAGCTGATGGGCTGGTAGTTTCCATTCT